CAATCATCGACACAGCAGAAACTCAGGTTTGGTGCATTGGGGAGAGGAGGGAGGGCGGCTGACGACGCCCAAGTTTTAGGGTATGGGGTTTGGTGTCACGGGCTGTGTCTTTCAGGTATTAGACTGCTCTTCGGCTTCGCGGAATTATGCTCGATCGTCCATGCGCGGGGCCAAAAGACTCTGCCTGTATTGTGGCGTCGAGGCTCAACTCGTCCTACCGGTAATCTCCGGAACGCCCGACTCACCTTCGTTGCGCGTCAGCATGGAATGCTCCTCAGGAAGCACTTTACATCTGCGGTCGTGGCGAGCAGAGGGTCGCATCGGCATCAGTGGTTCCCATGGCTTTGGCTTCAGGGAATCTGTTTGCTGGGTCAGTAACTCATCTAAACAAGGACTGTTGACATGCAAGCCGTACTAAAGCTGCAAACCTACACCTGTCGTCTAGCAGGATGGCATCTTCAACGAGCAATGCCTGCATTGCTTTCGGCTCCTGAACCTGGAAGCAAAACTACCCTACTTCGTTGAACCTTTCGAGCTTATCTTGCGCAAACCCCAACACAGTCACTAAACATCCCTCACGCTTGTACCAGCACCTCATGAGATGCACCGAAGCGAGAACCCTAAATCCTCGAGTCGAGGCCGAAATCCAACGCCCTAAACACACAGAAAATGTCGGGGCCTTAGTACTTAGAACAGCGTTTTTGGGCGCTCCTTATTATAACCATGGTATAACATAGCCCAAACACACAGAAGCCTCACAACTAACCTTCGGCTGACGCGCCTTAAGCTCCTCCCGAAATGCCGAACTTCTTCAGCACATGGAGCCTTTCCTGCCAGCGGGGGGCCGGTGGGGTTGAAGCTAAGGCTTTAAACAGCTGTAGACAACACCTAAAGCTGAGACAGGATATCTTTATCCTCCTCACGCCCGAAACCCTAAACCCTAAACCCGAACCCCCGAACCCCCGAACCCGAAAGCGGCATGAAACCCGAATTGGGCTCACTTTAGGCTTGGATCTTCCGGAGCTCTGGCCTTGTGGAGGAGCGATGCGGGTAGTTCTTGAAATTAGGGCCCCTTTTGAGGGACCTTTTCACAGGGGTGCCGTACTATTTTAGGGACCCAAAAAGGAACCCCAATCTAGAGAACTACCCATTTGGGGTTTAGGGTTTGGGGTTTAGGCTTTAGAAGTGGGGTCTTGGGTGTAGAAAGCTTGCGTTGACCACTCGCGGACGATGCAGGGTACACCCAGCCTCCAAGATCGATCTGAGAGACACCCGAAGTCCGAAAACATGAACGCAAAACCCTAAACCGAAGCCCGAAGCTCAGAGCACTACCGCAAACCCCCAACCCCGAACCCCAAACTCTCGAGTGTCCGAACTGTCGCTGACATAGCCTCAAACTCATCCCTCTCACTTTCCTCCCCCAAACCGAAGGTACCTGAACAACATCGCTAGTTTTTGGTGACCCCTAACAGAGCCTTTTCGGAGATCCCCCTACACCCTGAAGCATACTTTCGCTTACCCTCAAGCACATGAGCCAGCTTAACTTAGCAAGCATGCCCTGACCCCTGAAGCTCCACCAACACCGTAGAAATACCTGGAACGCCACCATAAACCCCAAACCCCACAGGCAAAACGCGCAAGGGCGCCCGCAACAAAAAGGACAGAAGGAGCCTCGAGCTCGAGCACTGCCGGGTCATGCTTCAAGCCCTGCCAGACAATTTTGGGGCTCGGGGCTTGGGAGGATGTTTGGCTTCGAATTCAGGGTTGAGGGCTCGGAGTTTAGGGTTTTGGGTGTTGGAGTCCGGGTTGGCTTCGGTCAGAAAAATGCCCTGTACAAATTCTGCTAGAAGTGCTTATGGAAGACTTACGCTCCAATACACGGGCCTGAATAATCATCAATAAGATTCCTGAATTGAGGCTTCCGATTATATGAAGGATGATCTGGCCCGAAATCCCTATTGAATATTGAAACGATCGCCCTAAAACCCGAAGCCCTTAACCCCAAACCCTGTGTTAACACCCACAAGCGCTCCCTTTCCGGGGGGGCCTTGTTGCTGCAGTGGCGCTCGTCGCGCATCTCGCGCTTCAGGGCCTGAAGGTCCTGGCCGACCGGGTGGATCAAGAAGAAACAAAGCAAAACAAACCGAGTAACAAAGTCTAGTCGCATCTGTGTGTGTGTGTGTGCGCCTACTATGTGTGCAATGTCTATAGTATATGTACAGAGGCAGACAGGCATGCAGGGCAGGGCAGGGCAGGGCAGGCAGGTACACAAGCAGATGTATAAACTAATTAGGGAGGCAAGGTGAAGGGAAAACATGTGAAGCCCAAACCCCAGCCCGCCCTCCGAATCTCCAACATCCCCTTCTTGAGCCTCCTGCAGCTGATTTAGCTCCTCGATGTCGGCTTCCATGTCCTGCGCTCGGCTATAGGGGCGGGTCGTGCTTTCTTCGGCTTCCACCAGGGTTTAGAAGTGGAAAGAGATTCCGCGTTTACCTCTTGGGGTGTGCGCCTTTGTGTTTTAGGGCTTAAAAGGCAGGGGATCTAAGGTTGCTTGGGGGTTGAGTGTGGCGTTTCGGGCTTTAGGATTCTCGGCTTTGCGGTTTCGCGTATGGCTCGGGACAAAACTCAGGGCATACCAAAAAAGGGTTTAGGCCTCGGAGAATCAAGTGTAAAGCGAATTGGGGCTTGAGCGTTTTAACTTAGGCTCCGTCCCAATTTGACCCCGTACTTAGCCCCTAAAGCCCCACAGAGAAACTCTTGAGCAGGAAACTTGAACCCAAAACGTGATGCCTGCAAGCGTTGGCAATCGCTGACCCCCGAAACCCAGCACCTCTGTAACACACTTGTGTGAAGGGTTTTGGGGCTTCAAAATTTAGGCTTCGGGTTTAGGGCCTGGTGTTTCGAGTTGGGAGGGCACACTTGACAGCTGCCAAAACGTCCTTGTTCATGTTCTTCGTGCGCTTCCTCGGCAATCACACGAAAGTGGTAAAGGCTCAAGCCCCTAGTCAGTCTAAATTCCGTCCTACGCATATGCACTCCATTTTAACTCCTAAACCTGACAGTCGACCCCGCTTTCAAGTCCACCCGAACATGTTTCGAGCACAGAGCATACCGCCACCCATGGAAGACATCAGCAATTTCCACGGTTTGGGATTCACGGCCCAATTAAGAGCTCTACTCTTCAGGGCTTTCGACTTAGCAGCAACTGCCCTCTCAGTCTGTGGAAAAGCAACAAGAAGCGGAAAGACAGGCATAAGCTTCTCGGTTTCTGGAGTTTAGGGGAGGTGGGAGTTTATGAGGTTCTCGCGAGCAAAAAAACATGCAGTCGTGAAGGTACTGGGCCAATTGTTTTGGAACCCTGACGCTGTGAGCCTGCCTGAGCCCTGAAACCCCACACTAAACTCTGAGCCCTCGACCCTGAATCCTAAGATGGACACACTCATGTGGGTTCTTAAATCATAGGGAATTGGGGGAGCCCTTGCATACGATAAGGATCCTACTATTCCGGGACGAAGCAGAATTCGCATGGGAGGATAGGTATACCATCCCTAGGGGGCAATCTCACTGATGCTCCGGACCCCTCTCGCCCTATCAAACCGGCCCTCTAAGCTAGAATTATCAAAAGCACACTGCCAAAAATGAAAAAAGCGCCCCTAAACCCTAAACCCTCTATCAGGTCCGCCTTTATGTTCTCAACACTTCCCACACCGACGATGAGTCCCCCAAACCTTGCGCCCGAAGCTGTTTATACAAAACTAGCTGGACTAGAGCTCTGGGTTTCAACCTTCCACCCTCAAACCCCAAGGATGAAATCTAAAGATTTGAAGAGAGGCCCCTCCTTTCCTTGCCCAATGTCTGCGTCCAAGGAACCTCTGGCAGAACGTAATTTGCTCACGTGTCTTCTGATCGTTCGTTTGGTTTCCTCTGACGGAGCCTAAACCCTAAGCCCGAAGTCCTAAGTCCTAAACCTTAAACCATGAACCCCAAGCAGGTCCATGCTCCAAAATTCCGCCGGGATTCTTGTCATGCAGCTCCTTGCCCCGCAGCTCCTGCACGAGGTTTGGAGTTCTAAACGCACGAGCTCCACGTGTTGGATCGGTGAAGCTTCCAAAAGACTCCGCAACAACAGCGTGGCTTTTCTGTGTTTGTTAAGGTTCAAGCTCTGTTCAGGATGTGGCAGGAGGTGAATGCCAGGGCAAGATCCATGAAATGAGCCACATTCATGTGGCGCAGAGACTGTGTAGTTGGGGTCGTTACCGAAGCCAAGCCGCTGAACTTCTCGATTTCACGCGCACAGATGACTGCGCTCTTGTGGCTGCTCTAGCAGAGGAAGCTAAAAGCAATCACCCTGCAGAGTCAGCAACAGAGAGGAACAACCTCAGAAGAGCTCGGGATGGTCCTGGCATTACTCGTTTAAACCGCTATGTTCTCAGCCATGCCTTGTTTGCAAGATGGTTGCAAGCCGACCACTCCTTGCTGCCAGTCACTGCCCTGAAATCTATCAACTCAACATCCGTAGACCTGCCAAGCATGCGTCTGTTGTGGACTCTGCACAAAATCAGTAAGCAAACGTTCGCAACAGAAACAACACATTCGGCATCTAAGCTGTGATAAGATGATCTTACACATGCAACTCCCTGCTGGCGCCGTGCTTGGCAATCGAGCAGTCAAGAATCTTTGTAGGACAGCCTTTAGGATCCTGCGAACCTTTTAAACAAACCAGGGCAAGCCCACTGAGTACTGTACCTCTGCGCTGACATGATGAAGTTGTGCTACACCCGATGGCTGCAGAATCCAATTCCAGACAGTTCGCAGGCACTGCCATGCCATTGCCGCGCATACTCGTGGAGGAAGCTAAAAGCAATCACTCCAAAGTACTGTGGCAACCGCAACTGTACAATGAACGGCCCTCCCAAAATTGTTTGGGCAATTGCTGAGTATCAGGCATGAACATTTTTCCAGGGCATTGAAGCAAGCATTGTGAATTAGGTCATCTTCTCTCACCGCACTTGGAATCTGCGCGGGTTCGTGCCGCGGTAGGACCGGTGGTATCCCTCTCGCGTCTGTGCCTCGGTGCTGGATTGCGCCACGGAGGCCGGATTGCGGAGCATCGTCGCCGGAATGTTCAAGAACGAGCGGCTGACCAAAACCACTTCCCCGTCCGAGTCAGCGAAGGCGATGTTCTGGGAGCTTCTTGGGACCACGCCAAGGCTGTACGGGAGTGAACAGATCACGCGCATGACTTCTGCTTCCAGGTTTTCTGCGACGAAAATGTCGCAGGGCCTCAGCCGCATGGTGGACAGATGGCTGCGGATGGCTCGGAAGCAGACAGGCTCCATGAAGATCTTGGCGCCGGAAGGCTGCAAGCGCCAGCCCAATCCTTCCTCCTGCAGCGCCTGCCGACATGGGCGCAAGGTCGGCGAATGCTCCAGATCTGCGTCCAACTGGCGATGCGAGCGGCTCAATGTCAAATGCACCACCCGAGTGAGTCCAGCAGGCACATGCGACTGCAAGTCGTTGCCATGCCAGCCGGAACCGATGTTGTGCTCAATCCATGATGCCTCCTGCTCCGCCACGATGGCCGCACCCTCCTCTTCCGAGATGTCGGCGGGTGGCTCGCTGTGATGCACCGGCTGCAGCACCTCCTGCGTTGGATCGGAGATGGATGGTCGGATGGCGTGTGGGGCAAGCCGAACCTTGAAGCCTGGTGGCACGTCGCACTGACCATGGTTATTGTTTCCGAAGCAAACCAGCTCGCCACTCGCCTTCACGGCACAGGTGTGAGCTTCTCCGGCAGCCACGGCAACCACCGGACCGAGGTCGGGAGGCACAACGCACTGACCAACTAGATTGTCTCCGAAGCAAACCAGCTCGCCACTCGCCTTCGCGGCACAGGTGTGTGCTTCTCCGGCAGCCACGGCCACCACCGGACCGAGGTCGCGAGGCACATCGCACTGACCATGCTGATTGTATCCGAAGCAAACCAGCTCGCCACTCGCCTTCACAGCACAAGTGTGTCTCCATCCGGCTGCCACGGCCACCACCGGACCGAGGTCGCGAGGCACGTCGCACTGACCATGCTGATTGAATCCGACGGGAGGCACAGCAGCCTGGTTTCTGCCGAAGCAAACAAGCTGTCCGGCCTCGCTGATGGCACACGTTGAGTCGCCAGATGCGGCCACAGGGCAGTTGGGGAACAGCATGCACCATCCCAAATAAGGTAAAACGTGCTTCAAGCAATCCGTCCGGCCAGTGTGGCATCCGAGCAACAGTAGGTTGTAAACGTCTTGGGCAGTAACGTAATGGTTCCTGTCCTCCAGCAGTCGTAGAGCCATGATGCCTGCAGTTCTCGGACGGCCTCTTGCCCAAAAAGCAGCTTGAGCCGAACACACGGTTACAGCATGGCTCAATCCACCTTTGCAACATGTGTGCCGCATGGCCACAAAGTGCAGGCTGAAGTACTCCTACAGTTGAGGTTTAGATTTTCCACAGCTTTGCATGTAACTGACGGTCAGGTTTAGAAGTGCGGTGCACCATACTTGCCACCCTACTCTCATGCGAGCTTGCTTCCCCAAGAGATAAAATTTAAAGCTTCAGAAGAGTAATGTAGGGGCCTTAATGATTTGAATAGGGTTTTGGGGGTTCCAATTTATTTAGGGCCCTACATTACGAACTTCTCAGAGCCCCGAGGTTTGAAACTTCGGTGTTGGCTGCAGGCTGTTTCTTCGCGGGGGCTTCGATCTTCGAGCTTTTCAGACTAGGCAGAAGATGTTTTGCGGTTTTGGATTCATAGGATCGCTTATAGGGTTTAGGGGTTCAGGTTTGGGGTTTAGGGTGAAGTGGTTCGGATCGTGGCAGAAGCTTATAAGACCTCAAGGGGTCAGGTTGAGAGACCGGAAAGGAAAGAGCCCTGAGCCCTAACACCTAAACCCTAAACCTTAAACCCTAAACCCTAAACCCTAAACCCTAACACCCCACACCCTCAAGATCCGAAATCTCCCAACCATAAACCGAAAGCCTCATCCCGAACCCTGGGTCCCCAAGTTTGCGCCTGCAGACGCATCAGCCACTTCATCACCTCCTCGTCCTTCTCAGCAAACGCAACTTTTACGGCTCGGGGGTTTCAGGTTTCAAACTTGGGAGTTCGGAGGCTTCGGAACTTCGGCTTTCGGGGTTTAGAGTTTAGGTTTTAGGCTTTAGGGTTTAGGGTTTAGGGTTTAGGTTTTAGGGTTTAGAGTTTAGGGTTATCTGGGCTTGGGAGCCTCAGGCCGCAGGTCTCGAGACTCGGGTTGCGGTGGTTCTTAGGTCGTCCCAAGGTGCAGAGTTGGGGACGAGGGGGGTTCGATATACCTGTGATCGCCCAGAGTTCACGTGCCCAGCGAATCACTACAAGCTGACAGCTGGACGAGGTCATGACTCACATGGTACAACATTGGCAACATATGGAAATGCTTGGCGTTTGTGGGGCATGGTCAGTGCCCCTCCTTCTCTGAAAAACCCTCTGGCGGAACCCCTCGACACGAAACCTCGAAGCACTGCCATGACAGCCATTCTAGGTCTTGCGCTGCAAGAGCAACGACTCAAGATATATTATAAAATCATATTCCTAAGCAGAAGACTCGTGCTACAACGATTACGCTGGTTCTGCCTGCTTCGTAGGCCCATCCCCGACAGGCGGAAGAACGACATCCCCAAAAATTGGCTGTCAACCCCAAATTCTGTGCATGGAGCAGATTTCGGGCACGAGTCTGTGGATGCTGGAGCAGCTATATTCACCTGAATGGAGGTATCTCCTGAACCCCCAAGTACAAGCAGAGATTTTCAGCGCCCACCCAAGCCCTAAACCCTAAGACTCAACTGAAGAAAGCCTAAGCTCTGGAATTGTTCAGCTTCTTGGGCCTTGTCTTGCTCATGCTCCGTGAGGCCCTCTGCCTGCGAGCACAGCAAACTACGGGGAATGAAGCTGAGAGAGTGTAGGACTCAGGGGCCTGGATTTCTAGCGGGGTTGGCTCCGGGATTATGTGTATACGGTTGTAGAGCGTAGTGTGCCGGCTGAAGACCTAAACGTAGCACTTCCGATCCATCGGTTTCAGGATTTAGGGCAGCGGGCAGCCGAGGCTTTACGCTTTGGGATACTCGGTCTCTACTTAGGCCCTGTCTCTGCCCTCCTCGCCCTAAACCATAAACCCCAACCTCCAAGCATAAGTCTTCAGCCCACACCTTAAGACTGAATATGGAGGCGGCAAGGTTGATATGAACCCTAAACACCCAACAGAGTACTCGGCAACCAGCTTATGCTACTGGGAAAAGTTGCTCGGAATTTATGTGGCAATGGTTCAGGATTGAAGGCAAGAGCCAGCCAAAGAAACCCCTCGTGTTCTGAATTGGGTTTATCATATGGACGAAAGGACCCAATACATCCGATGCTCTCGGGCTGCAGATGGGGGCAGGTCATGCCAACGACGAAGTGCGTTGCTTTCTTTGTCTCAACCTCCCTCCGCTTCGGCAGCCATCCACAAACTTTGCAATTTTCTAGTTTCAGACCAGTCCATCTCCCTTATCAAAAAAGTTTCTGTTCGAAGAGGTAGGTGTCTAAATGACCTGCGAACTCAAGGTTCCGGATACACGGGTGCACCAAGGGCCAGCATCGGCAGGCCGAAACAATGATGCCCAATTCCCAAATCGTCAACCGAATTGCCCTGAACCTTGGACCCAACACTCCAGTTTAGAACCTCCAAACCCAACAACAACCACGATCCTCCCGGCCTCCACCGTCAACCAGCCTTAGAACGCAAAACCCGAAAGCCCCAACAGCGGCCTTGAGGAAAGCCTTGCGCTCGGCAACTTGCACGAGAAGCCTCAGAGAACTCTGCAAGATTAGGGTTTAAAGTTTAAGGTTTCGGGTTTAGGGTTCAGGGCTTAGGGCCTTAAGGTTTAACAATGTTAAAATTTCTGTAGATTAGAAGTACCTTGATGGCAGTAGGAAAGCATCCAGAAATGTCCTTGCCTCAACTAGACCCCCACGACTTAAGTTTCCACTTTCGAGGCTACCGTGTGGGCGCGGAGGTCAGGGTTGAAGCCTACTTTGTTTCGACATGCATGAACGGAGTCTAAGTTGGGCTTCCTACCGCTTCGAGAACTTTCGGAAACACCTGTTGGCTACAGAAAGGTTTATAATGTGCCAGGGTAGTCGTTCTGAATTTGTGATGTCATGAAAACGGGTAAACATAAACGTTTACCGTTTCAGGTCCTTGCTGAAAAAGCTTGTGGCTTAACAGAAAAATACTGAACCATGTCTTCCGGCCGTCTTAAACAAAGATACAGGGAGAAAGAGGGGCACAAGGGCTTCGCAAACCTCCTGATACGTAAACACGCATGACGGATTGAATCTGTCGTGCAAACCAAACCCCGCAGTGATCATCTACATATTTATTGCCTGCATTCTCTCGTATGTTAACAAAGTCGTCTCCGGAGATTCACATGTTGGGACAACCCTACTACTCCTTCTGGCTCCTGCATTTGCAGATGCGTGCCTTCAACCAGACAACATCACTGGCCATGGTCCAGTGGTATGCTTAAGGCACTCGAATGGAAGGCTTTGGTCGGTTTAGCCTCAAAAGTAGCTTGAGGTTTACGGGAGCATGCAAGACCATCATCCACTCACTTAAGCGTCAGTTCGTCTATCAGGTTCAGCCAGCCGCGCACCTGGTCTTGGTCAGGCGTCTGATATGCACGCGGCGACGATGTGGTCCATCTTTTTTGGTAAATCTTCGAGACTGTTCCATGGAGCAAATAATTGTACCCACAGATTATACTAGTAGTGGAAGTCAGATATGCCGAACACACCGAAACAACCCGGAGTCCGGCCCCTACCATGCCGACAACAACCACTACAACTATACTACTGCCAGTACTACTACTACTGCAGCTGCTACCACTACTACTACTACTA